GGCAGAGCTTGCAGTGAGCCGAGATCGCATGACTGCACTCCAGCCTGGGTGACAGAGCGAGACTCCGTCTCAAAAACAACAACAAAAAACAAAAACAACAACAACAAAAAACAACTGTATGATCAAGGATAAATCCCACACATTTTAAAGAAAAGTTTGGTCCTTCCTTGGCTCCTGGGAGTAACCTCTAAACTCTTGGAGCATCCTGCCTGGAGTGTCTATGTGGGTCATGCCAGATAGTCTATGCTAACTGATATGGTTGGGCTGTGTCCTCACCCAAATCTCATCTTGAATTGTAGTTCCTGTAACCCCACTTGTGGTGGGAGGTACTCAGTGGGAGGTAACTGAGCCATGGGGGCGGTTACCCCCATGCTATTCTCGTGGTAGTGAGTTCTCACAAGATCTGATGGTTTTATAAGGGGCTTTCCCCCTTTGCTCAGCACTTCTCTCTCCTGCTGTGCAGTGAAGAGGTGCCTTCCACCAGGATTGTAAATTTCCTGGGGCCTCCCCAGCCATGCAGAACTGTGAGTTAATTATACCTCTTTTCTTTATAAATTACCTAGTCTCGGGTATTTCTTCATAGCAGCATGAGAACGGACTAATACACTCACAATGTGACTTAGGGTGGGAACTTGGGCCATGTGGCATCAGCTCGATCTGTGCAGGGGCTGGAGGCTAAGAACAACCATGCAGAAGTCAGCCAGGTGTATGTAGTTGACTCTTAATGAACACCCTGGCCACTAAGGCTTGGGTCAGCTTCTCTAATCGGCAGCACTTTGTGTGTTTTGCCACACATCCCTGCTGGGAGAAATAAAGGATGTCCACACAACCCCACTGGGAGAGGACACCTGGAGGCTTCCACCCGATCTCTCCTGGATCCTGCCCTGTGCACCTCTTCCTTTTGTTGATATATTTTTTTTTTGAAACGGAGTCTCGCTCTGTTGCCCAGGCTGGAATGCAATGGTGCAATCTCAGCTCACTGCAACCTCTGCCTCCCAGGTTCAAGCGATTCTCTTGCCTCAGCCTCCTGAGTAGCTGGGACTCCAGGTGTGTGCCACCACGCCCAGCTAATTTTGTATTTTTAGTAGAGATGGGGTTTTACCCCGTTTGGCCAGGCTGGTCTTGAACTCCTGATTTCAAGTGATCCACCTGCCTTAGCCTCCCAAAGTGCTGGGATTACAGGCATGAGCCACCATGCCCGGCTTTTTGCTGATTTTTAACTGTACTGTAATAAACCATTCCACTGTGATAAACCATAACCGTGAGTATGACAGCTTTACTGAGCTCTGTGAGTCCTTCTGGCAAACCATTGCATCTGAGGGTCTTGGAAACTAACACACAGGGAGGCTTTCTTTTCTTTCCTTTTTTTTTTTTTTTTTCCTTCCTTTTTTGAGACAAAGTCTAGCTCTATTGCCCAGGCTGTGGAGTGCAGTGGTACAATCTTGGCTCACCTGGCTAATTTTTGTATTTTTTGTAGGGACGGGGTCTTGCCATCTTGCCCAGGCTGGTCTTGAACTCCTGATCTCAAATGATCCGCCTGCCTCGGCCTCCCAAAGTGCTGGGATTACAGGCGTGAGCCATTGTGCCCGGCCACAGGGAGGCTTTTTTGGCATCCAGAACCAAGTGGAGAATCGGAGGCACAGTGTGGACCGTCTGCCCTTTTGTGGCATCATATCCTGGGCTTCGGGGAGCCTGGCTCTGTGTGGGTTTTTCCTTGAGGGCCACTCCACTGCATAACTCTGGGGCCTCATTTGCATCCTGGTCTGGGTAATGGCGCCCCCTGGAGTTGTGCAAGGACGGCCTGACTGGTCAAGGGAACCACTACCTCCCTGCCTCCCCGGTGCCATATCCCCCACTCCCAATAAGTCATGGGGCAGTTTTCCTGGGATTAGGCTCCCTGCCTGCTTTATATTCGCTGGCAGCTGGTTCAATTTTCTGTCCCTCTGGAGAACCCTGACTAATACAGGTCCATGCAGGACGTTCTGAAAACAGCACGAAGACCACCCTGCGTGACACCCACCTTGTTTCCTGATCTTCTGTGACTGGAGCAGACCTGTGGAGAAGAGA